GTATACGTCAACTATATTTACCAATTAATCGGTTGTGAACATCGAATTTGGTTCCTTTAATCGTAATTAAATTTTAAATAATTTCTTCAATTGATAATTGGTTGCAGTGCTCAATATTTTTTACTTTCTACTGTTTTTCGGTTGTAGCGACTAATATTTGATGTTCTTACGTTTTAATCCTAAATAAAAGTCGGCTGCATTTACTGAATTGTCAAATGAATTTAATAACCGATACCATTCAGTTCAAATTATTGATTTAAAAATTGTTAAAACCACAATTCGATTAGTATTATTGTTTTTTAATACTGAATATAGAAAATCAGTTCATTATACAGTTTTTCAATAACAGCGATACAATTTTAATTAATTTAACTAAATATTTATCATGGTAACCGATTTCCGATCGATCTGTTTTCTGTGTGTAGGTAGATAGATAGATAGATAGATAGATAGATAGATAGATAGATAGATAGATAGATAGATAGATAGATAGATAGATAGATAGATAGATAAGCAGATAACTATACTCATTTCTTGTTCTCGGTCGACTAGGGACTAATTATGGAAACAACAAGAGCTATGAATGCAATCCATTGGGTTATTTAACTCTCAATCGCTTAAAGCGAAAACTACGGTATCAGTATGAAGTTACGTTATTTGGATTCCAAAGAACTGAAAATAAACCGTGGGTGCCAGAGTTAACTGATCGTAACTAATACTCGGTCCAATACAAAACTTTAATTTTTTAATATTCTTAAATTTGGAACACGTTTCTGGAAATTTTTCAAGTTTATACAAAACATTTAGACTTCACAGTTAATAAGAGGGGTGAGACTCTCTAAACACTTTTATACGATAGGAGTATGTTCAGTTTTTTTCATTGGGCGCGTTTAATCTTAAACTAAAATGAAAAGTTTATTTCAATTGCCAATAATATGGATACAACACGTGTTTCCTAACAATAAATTGAAAAATATTAATTCTTATTTAATGTTTTTGCAAAACCTATAAATTTTAAGCAATTTAATACAAATTAAATTGTAGTTTTTTATTTATTTAACGAATTTTTCATTTTCGCACCCATTCATACAAAGCTTGTTGCTAAATATGGAGAACTGATGTTACGACATAATTATGCATTTGTTGTACAAGAAATTGCAATTTTATGCAAATTTGTATAAATATTTATGTGTGAGTGAGTGAGTGATACAAAATAAACAAATAAAACACCCACGTGTTAAATAACAGAAGAAACAGAACTTAAGAAAACTTAAGAAACTAAAACCCACGCCTAACTAAAGCGAAATAGAGTGGCGGGAATTAATTTGTATGCTAACGAAAAACTCAAGATATTTCAAAGAGATCTATTAAAATTGTTTACAATTGTAACAATTACATCACTGGTATTGGAACCTTTACCGGTATAAAAATAATGATTTAGCAAAATTGCAATAGATCGACATTTAATATGCTGGTTGGCATGGCAGTCAGGCAAAAGATGTCACCGTATGATGATCATGATGTATGTTGATGATCTTACAAGAGCAAGAAAGTTAATTAAAATACGATTACTTTTTATGCGACGCAATGTAACGCTCAAGGAGGCATGTTGTCTTTTCTCATCTTCTACAAATCCCAAATAAACATGCATGCAACCCAACTAATAGTTTAGACAAACAAAAAATCTTAAAAAAAAAGAAAAAGATACTCCTCTTGTAAGTGACTTCAATCAAAATGATGGATGAGTTTTTGTGTATAGTTTTCATGCTTGCTTGTAGATTGTGCAATTTTATTTGACAAAAAACCTCAATGTGATGCCACAATGTGACAGATGCAAATATTGCCTTGTATTGCCCATAATCAAACAATAAAAGTGTCAACTTTAAGTCACCCTAAAAAAAAACTCCTGAGACAAACACTTATGTCTTACATACGTAACTAATCAAAATATGGCTAGAGGATCTTGCAAAAATATTTATTTAACATATTAATGCAAAGAAGAAGGCAACATGACAAAAAAAAAATTGCAAAAGATTAAAATGTAATAGAAATTTGCAATCATGAATAAATAATCAATATTGTTTTTTATTTGCTTTATTGTTGTAAAGATTTGTAAGAAGGCAAAAATTGCTAAAACATGTTTGTTCTGTAAATGTTCTGCATAACCTTTTGAACTTTTTTGCATTATGATTTGCATATGATTGATTTGTAAAGGATAACTGAAAAAAAAAAATTTGCATGCTGGTAATTTAATATTTATTTTTTAGCTAAAGATTGGCTAGATATTATAACGGAATTCCCAGGATATGTGACAGTTATTCATACCTTTTTTTTAAAAAATGGCGTTTTTCAAATCTATCAAGAGGCCTTTCAAAAAATCCGTTATAATCTTTTAGCAAGCTTATATATTAAAGCATATTTTAGCTCTGCAGCATTCCTTTTCCATGGCGAACTTCACTTCATTTTGGGATCAAGAATTTTTCTAAAGGTCTTGAAGACATTTTTTGCGTTTTGTAAGGACAGAGGCTCCGATGGTTAATAGCTTTATGTTCTGGTTCTATTGCCTATTAAGAGTTGATGCTAGTTTATACATCTCATAGCAGTTAATAAATCGGGAATTGTTTGAGATCCCAATGTTTGAAGCTTTCTTAGTATATATAGATGGATCAAAAAGATTAATTAGCGTTAAAAGTGATGTTATTACAGAAAATACTGAAACTCGGATACACATAGAATGTCTGATGGTCCGAAAGGCTGTTTAAAAGGAAACAGTAATAAATAAATTAAATGTAGAAGAAGTTCGAAAC